GGAATAGTTCCTTCTGTCTATTGTTCTGCTGGGGGAATAGTTCCTTCTGTCTATTGATCTGCTGGGGGAATAGTTCCTTCTGTCTATTGATCTGCTGGGGGAATAGTTCCTTCTGTCTATTGATCTGCTGGGGGAATAGTTCCTTCTGTCTATTGTTCTGCTGGGGGAATAGTTCCTACTGTCTATTGTTCTGCTGGGGGAATAGTTCCTTCTGTCTATTGTTCTGCTGGGGGAATACTTCCTTCTGTCTATTGTTCTGCTGGGGGAATAGTTCCTACTGTCTATTGTTCTGCTGGGGGAATAGTTCCTTCTGTCTATTGTTCTGCTGGGGGAATAGTTCCTACTGTCTATTGATCTGCTGGGGGAATAGTTCCTTCTGTCTATTGTTCTACTGGGGGAATAGTTCCTTCTGTCTATTGTTCTGCTGGGGGAATAGTTCCTACTGTCTATTGTTCTGCTGGGGGAATAGTTCCTACTGTCTATTGATCTGCTGGGGGAATAGTTCCTACTGTCTATTGTTCTGCTGGGGAGATAGATCCTTCTGTCTATTGTTCTGCTGGGGGAATAGTTCCTTCTGTCTATTGTTCTGCTGGGGGAATAGTTCCTACTGTCTATTGATCTGCTGGGGGAATACTTTCTACTGTCTATTGTTCTGCTGGGGGAATAGTTCCTACTGTCTATTATTAAAATTATTATCTTAAATTATTATTATCTATTTTTATCTAAAAAATTATGAATGCGTCTGCGGAGTCGACCGCTGGATGGAATGGACTTGAGTCGAGGACGGGTTGATAAATGCTTCACCCACGTACTAATACAAATAATCGCCAACAGAACCTAACCTACGCCTAACTACACACAAAATTGTAATGTATAATAATAATATTAATGTATATATGAGAACAATTTTTAATACACAGTATGGTAAAGTTGATGAATGCGTTTGGGAAGGACGGCCGCTGCTTTAACGAGCCTAGTGTCAAGACGGGTTGCTAGTAGGGCTCCAAATTAAAGTGCGCTTGGCGTGGTATGTCCCAGAGCACCACTCTACCCCCTTCACATTCCACACGCATCTACACCTCCCAACACACATCTTCTCTCACTAACACAATCGCACCCTTCTCACCCTCTGGATTTCCCGCAGAAAGGTGCAGTCCCCCACATCTTTAATCTCTTCTTCAACAAGATTCATTGTGTAACAAATTCCGTCACCCTACAAGAGAGAGAGCAAGCTCATGTGCGCTTCTGCCACTCTTTCCGGTAGTTCTGCTCCTTTACTTGCAATTCCATCTGCATTTGTGTACATTGCTATTATGCGACTCATGACAAACTGGACTGCTTTTTGTTTCCCCCCTCCCAAGGTGTATTGATGCATGTGTCCGTGTCTGAGAGGGTTGAACCAGTCACTCTTGCCCTCACGTTTGTGTTGATGCTTCATTAGGGATGAAGGGAGACATGAGGGACGTTAGGGCAGCCTTACTATCTCTGTAGAACTCACTGTTACAGTCTTAAGCTGGTCTGCCCCACTATTTCCCTGTGTTAAACTCTCTCTTACCACATGGCGGTCCATGGTGAGCTGGCCTACACGCCTCACATCCATCACCCCACTTGAACAGCAGCCATGAGTCAAGCACCTTTGGTACCTGTCCTGCCAATATCGTAGATAAGGACACCAGTGACGCCACGGTACCTATGTGTCTTTCTCAAGAGTTTCGGTTAAATAAAGCATACACAAGCAACTATCCGGACTCTGTAGGGGCGGTCAACAAATGGAATACACTGAAAGCAGCTGTAGAAGCCACCTCCATTCACAACTTTAAGGCCAGATTCGACAAGGAATTCATCAGAATAGTTCAATTACAATCCAACATGTATAACAAGGCTATTAGGGCAGGGCACTTAGAGGTACCTGCTTGATACCTGGTTGATGGGGTTCTGGGAGTTGTTCTACTCCCCAAGCCCGGCCCGAGGCCAGGCTTGACTTGTGGGAGTTTGGTCCACCAGGCTGTTGCCTGGAGCGGCCCGAGGCCAGGCTTGACTTGTGAGAGTTTGGTCCAGCAGACTGTTGCTTGGAGCGGCCCGAGGCCAGGCTTGACTTGTGAGAGTTTGGTCCACCAGACTGTTGCTTGGAGCGGCCTTTACCTTCCCCTATAATCAGTGATATACAAGTATTTCATTTACACGAATGTATTCTGTCTTCCTAAGAGTTCTACCCGTATGAAGTGAATCACCTTGCAACAGTCACTACGGTTAAACACGCTGCCTCAGCTGCGGGGCTGAATTAAATCGTGCAATATTCTCGTATCCAAATGGCGCTATACATGATCCTGATGTTGTGATTGGTGGACCAGTGCAGCCCCCGCTGGAATGAATGGCGTCGCGGAGGTCACCCGTCGCCCAGCGGCCACAGGGTCAAGAATTCCAGTTACACTTCGTCAGGTCCTGAGCAATGGGGGTCTTCGGTGGCGCTGGAGAGGATGGGGAAACGCCTCACCTGAAGGTGCGTGGAGGACTGGTGGGCTCAAGAGAGTAGATGAAGGGTTATCTTGAGATGATCTTGAGATGATTTCGGGGCTTTTAGTGTCCCCGCGGCCCGGTCGTCGACCAGGCCTCCATCCCCAGGAAGCAGCCCGTGACAGCTGACTAACACCCAGGTACCTAATTTACTGCTAGGTAACAGGGGCATAGGGGGAAAGAAACTCTGCCCATTGTTTCTCGCCGGCGCCTGGGATCGAACCCAGGACCACAGGATCATAAGTCCCGCGTGCTGTCCACTCGGCCGACCAGCTCCCCTTGAAGAGAGGTGAAGAGCAAGGGGGACATTTAAGGGAATTGTGGGTAGGATCACTCGCATTGGGGGCAGCCCATGTGGGTGGGTACCGTGGCATCCGGGCATGGGTGCAGCATAGAGACGGCATCACGGCTCTCACCCGTCACCCTACAAGAGAGCCAGCTTACCTTAGCTGCCAACACCCACACCTCGTGTCAGCAAGGCGGACGGACAGTACACCTGCTTTCATAACACTCACTGTATTTTCCCCTTTCTAAACTTTCCCTTCACCTATGCCTCTTCATCCTCTTCCCTAAAACTCACCCGTCACGGAGGAGAGATGAATGAACCAGCCAACATGGCCAGTGACCTATACAGATGCTGCTTCCCCCGCTGGTCCAACATGACCGGAAACAAGGCTATTCACTCAGCCACCAATAATATATACGCAGGTGGCAGTGACGTCACGCGACCGGGTAGAACATATCGGTGGAGCTGGGAGGGATGTATGACGAGGGAGATGGGAGGGAAGTGGGAGGGAGATGGGATGGGAGGGAGGGTGGAGATATTGGCCAGGCCCTCATCACTGGCGACATCTGAAGCGGTACAATTTTCAGCGTTATGCCCACGCACTCAAAGGTTCATATCCCTACAACAGCCTCCGAGTGCAAACACGCACTCCAACCATAGTATTTCAGTCGCTAATAACACACTGAGTAAAGGCCGAGTTCTGAGACACGAGTGCCTTGAAGTCCCCTTGCAGCTACGAGATCAAAGTGAGCCTTATGGACCACGTGCCCAAGGGCTAGAGTAGCGAGCGAGGAGTGACTTGCGCTTCATGTCAAGAGTTGACAAAAGGGTTAAATAGGAGCATTCCTAAAGGTGGCTAGCCGACTCTTAGCGTGTTACTGCCTCATGCGCTGCCTCACACTGCCTCATGCGCTGCCTCACACTGCCTCATGCGCTGCCTCACACCGCCTCATGCGCTGCCTCACACCGCCTCCTGCGCTGCCTCACACTGCCCCATGTCCTGCCTCACACTGCCCCATGCCCTGCCTCACACTGCCCCATGCGCTGCCTCACACTGCCTCATGCGCTGCCTCACACTGCCTCATGCGCTGCCTCATGCGCTGCCTCACACTGCCTCATGCGCTGCCTCACACCGCCTCATGCACTGCCTCACACTGCCTCATGCGCTGCCTCACACTGCCTCATGCGCTGCCTCATGCGCTGCCTCACACTGCCTCATGCGCTGCCTCACACTGCCTCATGCGCTGCCTCACACTGCCTCATGCGCTGCCTCACACTGCCTCATGCGCTGCCTCACACCGCCTCCTGCGCTGCCTCACACTGCCCCATGCCCTGCCTCACATTGCCCCATGCCCTGCCTCATGCCCTGCCTCACACTGCCCCATGCCCTGCCTCATGCCCTGCCTCACACTGCCCCATGCCCTGCCTCATGCCCTGCCTCACACTGCCCCATGCCCTGCCTCATGCCCTGCCTCACACTGCCCCATGCCCTGCCTCATGCCCTGCCTCACACTGCCCCATGCGCTGCCTCACACTGCCTCATGCCCTGCCTCACACTGCCCCATGCGCTGCCTCACACTGCCTCATGCCCTGCCTCATGCCCTGCCTCACACTGCCCCATGCGCTGCCTCACACTGCCTCATGCCCTGCCTCACACTGCCCCATGCCCTGCCTCACACTGCCTCATGCCCTGCCTCACACTGCCTCATGCCCTGCCTCACACTGCCCCATGCGCTGCCTCACACTGCCTCATGCCCTGCCTCATGCCCTGCCTCACACTGCCCCATGCCCTGCCTCACACTGCCTCATGCCCTGCCTCACACTGCCTCATGCCCTGCCTCACACTGCCCCATGCGCTGCCTCACACTGCCCCATGCCCTGCCTCACACTGCCCCATGCGCTGCCTCACACTGCCCCATGCGCTGCCTCACACTGCCCCATGCCCTGCCTCACACTGCCCCATGCCCTGCCTCATGCCCTGCCTCACACTGCCCCATGCCCTGCCTCACACTGCCCCATGCCCTGCCTCATGCCCTGCCTCACACTGCCCCATGCCCTGCCTCATGCCCTGCCTCACACTGCCCCATGCCCTGCCTCATGCCCTGCCTCACACTGCCCCATGCCCTGCCTCATGCCCTGCCTCACACTGCCCCATGCGCTGCCTCACACTGCCCCATGCGCTGCCTCACACTGCCCCATGTCCTGCCTCACACTGCCCCATGCCCTGCCTCATGCCCTGCCTCACACTGCCCCATGCCCTGCCTCATGCCCTGCCTCACACTGCCCCATGCGCTGCCTCACACTGCCCCATGCCCTGCCTCACACTGCCCCATGCCCTGCCTCATGCCCTGCCTCACACTGCCCCATGCCCTGCCTCACACTGCCCCATGCCCTGCCTCATGCCCTGCCTCACACTGCCTCATGCCCTGCCTCACACTGCCCCATGCCCTGCCTCACACTGCCTCATGCCCTGCCTCACACTGCCCCATGCCCTGCCTCATGCCCTGCCTCACACTGCCCCATGCCCTGCCTCATGCCCTGCCTCACACTGCCCCATGCCCTGCCTCATGCCCTGCCTCACACTGCCCCATGCCCTGCCTCATGCCCTGCCTCACACTGCCCCATGCCCTGCCTCACACTGCCCCATGCCCTGCCTCATGCCCTGCCTCACACTGCCACATGCCCTGCCTCACACTGCCTCATGCCCTGCCTCATGCCCTGCCTCACACTGCCCCATGCCCTGCCTCACACTGCCCCATGCCCTGCCTCACACTGCCCCATGCCCTGCCTCACACTGCCCCATGCGCTGCCTCACACTACCCCATGCCCTGCCTCACACTGCCTCATGCCCTGCCTCATGCACTGCCTCACACTGCCCCATGCCCTGCCTCACACTGCCTCATGCCCTGCCTCATACTGCCCCATGCCCTGCCTCACACTGCCCCATGCGCTGCCTCACACTGCCCCATGCCCTGCCTCACACTGCCCCATGCGCTGCCTCACACTGCCCCATGCGCTGCCTCACACTGCCCCATGCCCTGCCTCACACTGCCCCATGCGCTGCCTCACACTGCCTCACACTGCCTCATGAACCAGCCCAGTCCCCCCTCACAACGCTTGGACCACTTCCCTCATCCTCCTCACCCTATCACATCAACCACAAGTCTCCCATTACTACTGTACTGGAGAAACTGTCGTCGTACTCGTGTTCAACACGCTTCCACTACACATAAGGGGCATAACTGGCAAACCCCTCACAGTGTTCAAGAGAGAACTGGATAAGCACCTCCAAAGGATACCTGATCAACCAGGCTGTGACTCATACGTCAGGCTGCGAGCAGCCGCGTCTAACAGCCTGGTTGATCAGTCCAGCAACCAGGAGGCCTGGTCGACGACCGGGCCGCGGGGACACTAAGCCCCGGAAGCACCTCAAGGTAGCCTCAAGGTACTCCAGTAAGCGGACCAGTCCTAGTATCAGGTCAGTGTCCTTGCAACGCCGTCTTGTCGTTTCCTGGAGGGCCGGGATAAACCTGCTTACAGCCTCCTGACACTTTTGGGTGACATAGTCCATCATGTCTTGTACGGACTTGGTTCAGAGTTCTGTGTCTCCTTGTATATCCCTTAGGAATTTATTCATCTCCTCATAGTTTCCCTTTTTCGAACCACCACCAAACTTTTGGACCACATCCATAGATTTTTTTGTTAATAAAAAGAGATTGTAAATGCGGTCCGTCGTGTATGCCGGGTTAATAACCGGAGAATGAAGGATCGGTACTCAAGAAGCCACAAGGATCACCAACTAGGCGGCCTAGTCTGAGACCGGGCCGCGGGGCTGTTGATCCCCGGAAGCAGCTACACAAGGTAAACACCTACCCAATCAGCTCCACAGTGACAACATTGTAACGTCAATTATGTCACTATGGAGGAAAAGATCACTCCTGTGGGTCAATGTTTGTTATCTTGAGATGATTTCGGGGCTTTTTTAGTGTCCCCGCGGCCCGGTCCTTGACCAGGCCTCCACCCCCAGGAAGCAGCCCGTGACAGCTGACTAACACCCAGGTACCTATTTTACTGCTAGGTAACAGGGGCATAGGGTGAAAGAAACTCTGCCCAATGTTTCTCGCCGGCGCCTGGGATCGAACCCAGGACCACAGGATCACAAGTCCAGCGTGCTGTCCGCTCGGCCGACCGGCTCCGGTGTTGTTTTGTATTACGTTAGTTTTTATGAGACGAGTAAAGAGGAAGGAGAGGCATAGGTGAAGGGAAGTATAGAAGTGGGAAATACAGTGAGAGGTATGAAAGCAGGCGGCGGGCTGTCCGCCTTGCTGACACCATGTGTGGGTGTTGGCAGCCACGTTGTGGGGTGGTTACGTTAGTTGTTACGTTTACGTTAGTTATTAGCTTACGTTATTACGTTAGTGGAGTGCCTGGAACTGTAGGGGGTAGGGGTGGGTGTGGGGACGACGTCGTGGTGGTGGTGGTGGTGGAGGGGACGAGGAGGGGACGAAGGGGGACGAGGAGACGGGGGCGTCAGCCTGCTAAGACAGACCCAATTCCAACAATTAAACTGGTGCCTCACACATTGTATCAAGCTTACTCCCCCTGTGCTCCGGCACCCTATCACACAACACCCGCATGAAAACCCTGAATAAAGCATCTCAGGTCTCAGGTCATCCACATTCCACAGCATTGTAACACCA